AACGCTCTCAACATTTTTACTTTTTTGGGGCTTATACAGTCCTGTTTGTGATAAATTTTTAATTATAAATGTCGAAAAGATATCACATAGATATTTTCTACAAAGTCTTTTATGTATCTGTAGAGCGTTTATGAACTATATTCATAAACGTATATGTGAATATTCATGTTAATTCATGGATTTCTGATGGCATGATCCGGTATAGTTATGGAATGGAAATAATAGATCTGACCCCTCAACGCAAGATGAGAGTCGCAATATATACAGATCCGATTATACATATCCCGTTGCATTATTATTAAATGTTGAGCGTTCAGCCATTGTCATAAACGGCGACGAGAATAATACGTGAACCGCCGGACAATCGTGTTCGCTGTTCAAAGCCAAGTGCGAAATTCGACAGCATTCTCCGGAAAACCGGTCTTTCAGCATTGACGCAGCTTATAGGAATGGAAGTCCATTAGGTTTTGGAGGTCCGCAAGGAATTGTATTTAGTCATATCCCTATACGTTAGGTATTATGCGTGTACGATTCTGTATGCGAAATGCACGAAGCAGTATAAGCTTATTTATTTGAAACAATGTATTCGACATTATATCGGTATATTCATTATACGTATAAACTGAAAATTATTCCGCCATACCCAATGTATTTCCCTTGTGTGCCATATAATAATAGCTTTGTTGAGGATGTGAGAGAAAAAAATATTATAGTTAAAATATATTAATATTAATGAAAGTAGATACACATTAACTGATTATACATTCTAAAAGCGAGAAGGAAAGCACATAAGCTCCTTTGAAAGTACTGTTTTTCGATCGGAGCCAAATATTAGCATTCGAACTAACAAGGTTTGCACAAGCAAACTCGTCAACTTGGGCATAATTTCGTAAAGGCAGAAAGTAGCTTAAAACTTAATAATGATGTTTCTTTTATGCCTTCTTCCTAGTATTTTAAAAATGTAACGTAAAGTCTTTAAATAAGCATTCTTGCTTTTTCGATATTCGTAATCTTGTATCTTTTTCAAATAAGCTATCAAGTATGAAAGTATATTTTAAGCTTAATAACGCGTTTAGAAAAAATATATTAAAAATTTTATATCAAATTTTTCATTATTTATGTAAATTTGTTTAATTTAAATTCTAGAAAAATCCAACAAAATTACTTTTGGAAATTTAAATATGACATTTAATAATACTTTTTTATTTTTGAAATGCTTGTATATTTAAAAAAAAAATTTAAATTTTAAATTTAAACTCACATCCTTTCTGCACCCAAAAAATAAAAAATTTTATTAGTAAGCTACAACAGATACTTTATTTATTTTAAATTATATCTTTCTTTATATTACACAATAATTATTTCTCTTTATGTTAAATAATATGAGATTACACGAAACAATTTCAAAAACACTGTAATTAAAACTCTGACTATTACAATATCTCTGCTGATTTAATGGCCATTAGAGAATTTCATTAAAAAAGCTTTTACATTCTGATGTAGCATTCCATTTTCAAATATTGAATCTTGCAAGTCCTAAGCTCGTACCTTCTTTATACTCATTATTCATTTTTAATATCTATTTTAAATCCTTAGAAGTCCTTAGAAGTCTGAGAGTACTTTATTTGCAATAAAAGTGTATTTACCCATTTTAGAATTAACAAGAGAAAAACTTATTTAAAAAAAATTAAATTTTTCCTTTTTCTACATTCGATAATTTTTTTAGTTTATTGCGGATATCTCATTTAAAATCTAGGCACTCCATTATGTATACAAAAATAAAACTGAAACGAAATATATTTAAAAACCTACAGAAAAATTCACGAGATTTCATATAACGTATATTAAAGCTAATAAAAAGAGTTTATAGTTCAATGTGTTTAAAAGCTGAACATAATAATAATTATGCATAAATTACGCACAATGGTAAAACCGAATTATTTAAAGTGATGGAATCATAAAAGATATTTCTAACTCTGTAATCATAATTGTGAACTACTATATAATTAATATAGTAACATTAAAAATATCTTTATTTTGTCAAACTGCGTTTAAATCGTTTGCTTCTTATAATGATCGCAAAGAATGAAATTTATCAAAGTTCTTTGCTATTATCTTCATTTTAACTTTAATTAATCCCGAGTTAAAGCATTCTTCTCCTTTGAATAGACTGTGAAATGAATGGCTTTCGAAAGATCTCTAAATGTGTTTAATTATCTTCATCTTACTAACTTAAAGGGCTTAATACAACGATTCGAGTTTAATAAAACAGTTTAATCATCAATGGAATTTAGCGTGTTAAGCAACTCCGTTGTGTAACTCCCTTTTGTAAAGCGGGACAATAAATGAAACTCACGAAACTCTCGCCTGGATTTACAATGCCGCTCGTGTAATTAATGGGCGCACGCTAGCTTTGCGTTTGATTTCAAGCTGCTGAACGGGCTAGCATCGAGATGCGAGATTAATTGCGACGTTAATTGCTCTACAGACATTCTGTGGCCACCGTTTACTCACGCGCGTGTGTACACGCGCAGAAACGCGAAACGTGTGCTGCGACACGTGCGAGAGCGCGCGGTAACATTAGTCCGTGCATCGTGTGCATTATCTTTCAATCTTTCCGTAGAGTATATCATGCAAGTTTATAACCTGTTGATTTTCAATTGTTTACTATCGCCAACACCGATTATTGGAATCTCGTGATACTTTCAAAAAGTACCGCAAATTATTTCGCTTTCCTCTGCGCGAAATTATTTCGTGCAGAAGCAAGAATTAGAAATCGAATTATCTCTGAATTCTCTTTCGTTATACACGATAAAAGTATAAAAATAAAAGGTCTCCAAATTTCATTACATCATGTAATAAGAGTGTTCAAATGATATCAATATAACACATGGATCAATAAGTCCCGAGACTAACCCAGAAATGGCGCTCGTAGTAAACCAGTAACCACGTCTTTCTAGAGTACTAACCTTTGCTTGAAACGTGTCAAAATTTTAAGTCGATCGGACTAGAAACAGCTGAGTTATCGAGGTTAGAGTAAAGTCGTTTTGTAGTTTGTTTAAAAAATCC